TGTTCTTTGTGATCCTTGTTGGCGTTATTTCTAAGGATGAATATGAACTAAGAAGTATTTTATTAGCATGAAGTTATGTTAATCAATTTATAGTATTTTTTTTACATTAGTAAAGAGAACAAAAAAGTAAAAGTTGAATTCTTACGTTTTTTATTTTGATGAATTGTGTAAGTTATAATTTCTATCTAGTTGTTGATGAAATAAAACAGTAACTTGCGTAATTATTTGCTTCCTATAGTATTTACAACGGAGAAAAAGAGAGTAAATACATATATTTGACTATAAAATAAATATAACATATTGTTTACTAGCTTTGTTATATAGTCATTAAATATTTATTTATTACAAAAAATACCTTATAAATTGAGTAAATTATAAATTTTATATATTCTTATATGCTGGTCATTTAATTATTTAATTGTTTTTATTTTGTATACAAATGTATTTGTGTCACATTAGAAGCATGGTTTTGTTTCTTTCATTTGAAAAAATAAAATAAAAAAATAGCATGTTCATTTTTTATTGTCAATTTTAATAGATTTTTATTTAAAATCAAATTAAATATTATCAGCTTTTTAAAAAGAATTTAATGCCGAATAAATTAAATACTAAAAACCTTAATAGGTGCAGTTTTTCAAAATTTTTTATACAACATTTCTTTATTTATCGAAAAAAAAATCATATACATAATGTATTTAAGAACTTGAATTGCACTACATAAATATACTGTTCTTTTATTTACAGAATATATGAACTTAAATATTCACGTGTTTTCTTTGTCTAATTGTCGTAAGTTTTTTTTATTGGGGGTCGAATTAGCCATTTGTGATTTTTTAAATGTATAAACAAAATATATTATATGGAACACACGTGCCAATGCACGCACAAAGCTAGTAATTTATTTTCAACAAATTATAAACTTTATATTATATTCTTATGAGCTGGTTATTGAATTATTTATATTTTATAAAAACGAATTTGTTTCAAATTAAAAGCATGTTTTTGTTTCCTCATCTAGAATAAAAATTGAAAATAAATAAGCATGCTCACTTTTTTTCAATTTAATTGTATTTTTTTTAAAATAAAATTATCTATTATCGACTTTTTAAAAAGAATTTTATATCAAATAAATTAAATTCTAAAAAACTTCATAGGGGTAGTTTTTCAATTTTCTTTGTACAACCTTCCTTGATTTATTAAAGAAAAAATCACATATATAATGTATTTAAGAACTTAAATTACAATACATAAATAAAATTTTCCTTTATTTACAAAACATTAAGAATTTAATTATTCATGTTTTTTTTGGTACTAAAGGATGAATATTTAAGCTGATACGTCATATTATTCACCTTGTTTAATCAAGATTGAAATGTTGTTATACCATTTTACATTCGATATCTGTCATACTTGCAATGAAGTGATTCTTTCACTGAAAACAATTGAAGTTCCTCAAAATTTTCAAGTTATATCATTGAAAATTTAATACAAATAATGATGTTAATGAGACAAAAAAATAAAATACTATGTAAAGCGAAAAAACAAAATCGTATATGTTGAAAAATAAACTGAGAAAAAATATCAATAATCTACGTCATACATTTAATTATTGTTATTTTTTACAATGTTTTTTTATTTGTTTAAATTTCTTACCTTATTTGTTAGGTTTTAGAAGAAACTATCATATTGATCCTTAAATAGTATATGCATGGGTGTTCATGGTTTGAATAAATACCGACTCAAATCGATAAATCAAACCAAATCGAAATTAAATTAATTTTATATGAGTTAGGGTTTGGTTTAGTTTAAGATTTTAAAATACTGATAATATTTAGTTTGATTTGACTATGTTCAATAAAATGAAGAAAGAACCATGCCAAATCGATAAATTATATACATATATTTTTATTATTATACATGCATAATATATTATTTTTATAAACAATTTTAAATATCCTCTATATGTTTTCAACAAATTTTCTTTATCATTTATTTATGAAAGTAAAAACGCTTAAGACGAAAACATTTATCGTATTGGTTCATGTATATAAGACAAATAGTGAATTTTGAAGCTTTATTCACAGTAAATTAAGTGAATGAAATTTATGTAATGTTAGTTATTCTAACAATTTTTTGTTCTGAATGAATTGTTGTCTTTTTTTTCCTCTTTTAATTGAATCGTTTTTTTTTGTGTATGGTTAATAACCGATTAATCGAACCAAATCGGAACGAAAGCGATAACAACCAAATCAATTAATGTATATTGTATTTAATTTGATTTTAATAATTTAAAAACTAATTAAATTAATTTAATTTTGATTTTGACAAACCGCCCCGTGAACACCCCCAAGCATATATGTATGTTTTTTTCCCTTGATTGAATCAATAATAGTAAGTTGAAAAATACATAAATTAGTAAATAAAAATCACCCCATATACACATTTAATAGTCAATATTACAGGTTTTAAATCTACTTTTAAAAAATTCTTGCTTATAACAGTTTAATTACGAGTTATAACATATCACTAATTATTTATAAATTAATTAAATTTTACTTTATTAAATAAGTTATTTTTTATAATTTTATATTATTATTAAATTATTTAAATAAAGAATACCCCAAAAAAAATAGAAATTCATCTTTCATCTCTTTCATCCATACTCCATTGAAGCCGGTTTTTCAACATCTAAAAATTGATTAGGAGAAATATATTATCCATACAATCAAAACAAAAGGGCAGATCTCTAAGTTGTAATTTTCAATAATTTTAGTATTTTGGAGAAATTTCGTTTGATAATTGTATTGCAAGAAAGTTTATTTTATCATTTTCATGGAGGTGAATCAGATGGTGTTTTGGGGTTGATCCTTTTTGGATTTTGCTGATTTGAGTTCTTACTACGTGGAGAATGGTCAAAAATCGAATCTTTATTGATTTTGCTAACGTTTTTTGGGAGATTTATGGCCATGTGTAGTGTAGATTGGAGTTTATTATAGGAGGTAAAGATGTTCTTGAAACCTTATTTGGACTCTTGGAAAGTATTGTTGAGTGTGTGTTGTGTCCTCCAAAAGTTAATTGAGTTTTTTACTACATGGGATATGGTTAAATCAATTTAGTAGATTTTTTTGTTAAACTTGTTATATTATGCATATTATTGGTATGAAAGCTGACTTAATATACGATTTATGAATATGGTATGAAAATGTGTTTTAACATTGGTATGAAATTGATTTATTGTTGGTATGAAAGCTGACTTAAAGTTGTGTATTATTTTTATCAAAAAATGGTGTGATATCAATGGTCCAATTATGTGAATTGATTGTAGTTTGTTAAGTCATTCATTTTTTTTTTTGTATAAATTATGTCTAATGTTGGTATGAAATTGGTATTTTCTTATAATACCTATTTTTTTTATAATAAGAAGGTTTCTTTTTCAATTTCTCCAACTAGGTTGATGGCAATGCGGAAAAACAAAGAATGATAATGGCGCGATCAGTGAGAGTGAAGTAACTGGGACTATTGCTAGCAAATTTGATGGATCCCGCATAGCAAAAGAACATGCTCTAGATACCAGCAATTATCCTACACCAAGACTACGGAGATCAAATTTGAGATAGTTGATTGCAGCTTAGACTCTTTAGTATTTCATGTCTTTTTAACTTTTGAACGATATATATTTGTTTTTTATACAGTTTTAAGTATTGAATGATATAAAATATGCACTGTTTTCTTCAAGTCAATTATCAACTACATATGCATTACAGATTGACTCTCATAATTTCTGGATACTAGTTATATACAGACTGCATATCAATTGGATACAATTTTTGGATATCAGTTATATACAAACTACATAACAATTGGATACATAAACAGTTTAGTTTTGCTAATTAATTGGATATCAAAATGAACACCATATAATTGGTATCCAAACTATATATAGTTGACATCCAATTATTCATACCAACATTTATTCAACCTGAAGGAT